TGCGAATAGTTTCTTTTTTTCAATATTCTATTTCATCAGTTAAAAGCGCTTAGATGTTTGATCCTAAGCACTTAAAAGTGCTTAGATGTCTTGTTCTAAGCACTTTTAGTCGCTTAAAAATGTGCGCTGAAAGGTGCTGTTTAAGCGAATTTTTAAGCGAGTTTAAGCTAGCTTTTTCGCTGAAATTTTCACATGGGCGCTAGATTACGTAACAAATCAAATTAGAGACTCAAAAAATAGACAACATACGAGAAAAGTTTAGCGTCAGTGAATGTCATCTACTGACGCTAACAGTTAGTATGGGTGTGTGCAGCTTTTATATTCACCCGCATTCATACCGACATTCACATCGAGTAGTTACCTAATTCGACTTCGAATATAAATGCAAAAAAGCCGCTTCCATGTTTTCACGACACTGTCAGAAATATATTTTGATTTTACAAATTATACATTTATAAGTCGACCCTCACTTCCATTTATAATTCAGGATATAGAAATAGATTTCGATTTCGATTTCGATTTTATAAATTATAAATTTATAAATGAATGTTTTTCTTTCGCTTTTTTCCTGCAATTAACATGGGTGCTGTTTTTTTGTACTTGTATTCGAAGTGGTAATGATTACTTCATTCTCCATTTATAATCGAATTCGAATTAGGCAACTCATGTGTAGACCCGTGTATGTCCACCTTTCCTCGCACCCACGCCGACACCCTCCCACCAAACCCTAAAAAAAAGAAATCTAAATCTATTTCTATATCCTGAATTATAAATGGTCGCGTTTTTTTTCATTTAATTTCGAATTGTGAATAGTTATTCAGATTTCAATTTATATTCAGATTCGAACTAGGCATCTCATATTCACATCCATATTCCCACATGCGCATGCAGATTGATTAGTGGAAGATATTTCTGTAGGCATACATGAAATTTAAGGCGGTTAAAAACTTAGAGCATTCTGTGTAGTCTGATAATTGTCGTATACAAGACTTGTTATACCAACACACCGTTAATTTTCTTTACTCAGTCATAGATAATGCTGCAAGTGCTTCCTCGTTGCAATTTTCTGGTCAAAATAGAAAGTTCTATTCCTGCCTTGCAACAATTTTCTGATTCACATAAATGCGACGCAAACCACCATTGGGATTCTGGTAGCAAACCAGGATGATCCTGTGTAACACGTATCATCAATCCTGTGCAAACGATTGGAGATTCTGGGTCATTAAAATCGACGATGGTTTTTTTAGAAGTATCGATTACCCATTCCAAACGCTCATTCTCTATATTAGGATCAATTCTAACGTTATTTTTGCACCTTAATGTTTCCAAAACTATCTTTTTAATACTGTTTGGATGCACACGACATTCTAACACATATTGTATATAGTCACCTAATTTGAAAGTATTTCGAAAAGATGAAGGAATTTGCTTCACTTCAGCGTATCTCGGATGACTCGCATAGTTAATGGATGGAGTGACATATATACCAGCACCATGCTCGTGTCTATACGCCGGTTTCAGTCCATTCAAAAGAATGGATATGCCGTACGCAAATTTTGTGCCGTGATAACATATACACCACCCGTTAAATTTTTCATCGAACCTATCAGTAACATAAAATGACCATCGTTTCCATCCAACAGGACAATAGTAGGGACTACCACGGCCTTTGCCATCACTGAGAGCACCTTGCCAGAAGTCGCGACCACGGACATATACACGGTTAAACTCCGGATGCAAATAAAGCTTTTCTTGATATTTTTGAATTTTCAGTAATGATTCTTCGGGACCCATAAAGATGAAAAACGTCTTCATCTTGCCTAGTTCGTCTTGTAAGCTATCGGTGAATGATTTGTATACCAGTTGCAAACACCGCTTTTTATCATTCGATTTTGTTTCCCCGGTAATTGCCACTGTCATTATAACTGAGCCTGCCTGTATTCCTTTAACCACAATATCATCCATTTTTAGAGGCATTTTCTCACAAAATGTAGTCAAGAAATCTTGTACATCGAAATTACAATAATTGTCATCGATGCCGAATTTCAGTATTGATGACGTTAATCCAATACTGTTGTCCAAAACTTCACTAGCAACGGATACCAATGGTTTTCCTGTGCCGCGATAATATTCTTTGCATCGCTCGTAATATCTGTATTCACTTTGTGATAACGGTTCTTTTGATAGGAAATCTTGTGTACGTAGACGAGCTAAAATTAGTTAAGAATAGTAGGATTCGTTCACTAATGCGCTACTTCAGACATTAAGAGACATCTCACTAGAAGACCGAAGATTTTTACAGGAGTCAGCGGGGGACATGTTTTTAGTTTTGATTTAACCTATCTAATTTGAAAGCGTGTTCATTCTTATATATATATATATATATATATATGTCAAAATGCTACAAAATCCGCCAAGAACTTGTCGAATATTGAGTAGTATCTACGCGGTAGATTCATCCTGAATTCGGGATTTCTGAGAGATTGAATATGGGAGCAAGAATTCCGGTAACTATCGATTGGAGCCTGTCGTCATTTTTCGAATCCGATGGAACCTTGGTAAATGTGAGTGAGCTGGAAAACATAAGATATTAAGTCGATATGTTGCAACTCAATTAAAATATTTGGTGACCTCATATGGGAAAAATGGAGGGCGTGATAATATTAAAACCAACGGCAGCGTTAGCGCTTTTGATCTGAAGGTGGGGAGCTCTCCTTGCCTCCGCTGGCGCCACCACTAATCATGCGTCTGAATTAACTGATCACTCAACAGGACTATCATTGTGTGAATATAGTTCTTCAACTTGATTCTGATGTTATGGTGGAGAGTTCATTGATATGAATCTTCACATACAAGTTTCTGAGTGTCTGGAAATGGTGAGGTGTAATCTGGAGGCTGAACAGTGTAACGGTATTTACCGTTACGGCTCACTTTATGTACTTTATCCTCTTCGCTGTATCCTATGTCTGTGCATTGACCTGGTGAACTCTCATTGTTCTATTGCGTGACCGTTCCCTCTTTGTCTATATCCGCCCAAGCGTGATCACTCTCGCGTATATAAGGGAATGTAACTAAAGGAAATGCACGACTAGAGATGTGCAGATGGCACAATACACCATCATGCCGATGGGCATAGGGGACACTCTCTATGTTCGTCACAAACAGCACCATCCTTAAATCTCTGATTACGCCGCTATTTGGGACTCTAACATTTTTAGCTTTGTCTGTATACACTATGAACTCTCAGATTATAAAAGAAAGACCAGCGATCATTTTTGAATTCTGGGCAACTCGGTCGATGGTTCCATGAAAGTTCTGTCATTAAATAACGCAAATCAATTGTCAACAAATGCACAAAAATTCACGCTGAATTTTATACGAGTAAAATTAACTACTTGTGTGGGAGAAATCCAGTGTGCGATTTCACATTTGTGGCTCCTCCCTTCGGTAAAGCAATTGTTCTAGACAACCACACACGGCGAAGGAGCAGCTTTGCCTTCCCCCGCTTTTCTATGTCATGCTCTTGTAAGAATATAAAGTATTCATCTCATTCCAAAGGGAAAGATTCGATACTATTCAGGTAACTCTTTTCCTGACTTACGTACCAACGATTACTTCATTGAGAGAGGCTTGTTTATGTTGTCTTAAACCGTCCATTGACAATGGTATTTGTCTTTGATTGCTTTCTTGGTGCACAGCATTTCTTACTCGCCTGAAAAGATCACTTATTGGGACATTTTCTTCTGTAATATTTTGTAGCAAGTGCTTTGTATACAAGCTATTACGATTTGCTCCTAGTACAGCAAGGCTTGTTTGATTGGCACTACAAGCAAATTGGATGAATGTTCCAGGAGGTGGCTGTATTTCAGACAGACCTTTGCCATTGGTCTTCACTAAAAGAAGATATGTGCACTTATGAAGGCATTTATGGTTATACTTACGTTTGGCTGCTGATCCATTCATCAGCACGTATGGTGAACAGTAATCCAAAAGGAATATGGTCACAAAAGATGGATTTTTTTCTACTAGTCGTTTTACCGTTCCCTCAAAATTGATTGCAAAGTCATCAAAGTCGCACTCTTTTTCTATGTTGGAATCATTAGTAGGTATCAAGTATGTTTTGCCATTAGCCTGATAAACATGGCCAGAAAAGTAGAATAAAATTAGGTCCCCGTCGTTAATCTTGTTTCTAAAGTCAACAATTTGACTAGCCATGTCTTGCTTACTGATGTCGCACGCTTTTGTTGTAGTGAAGTTTATACTCTCGAGCACATTGCTGAAATCAGTAGCATTATTGATAGCATATCTTTGCTTATTTTCAGATTGATATTTCTGATTGCCAATAATTAACGCTAACTTTCGAGGAGATGATAGATTCTTGTTGGAGACTGCCATTTATTTCCTGTATCTGAAACATAAATTTGAATATCCTACATATGGGAGAACGTGAGAAGATTATGAGACCAAGTGAAACAATAAGCGCATCGATTCCTACAGAGCGAAAGTTTGCAACACAATTGACACGTTATGATTTCATCAAAATTCGTTTTCTAGATCAAAGAATACAACGTTTACCTGTCTCCGACGAACTTGGGCATCTGAGAAACAGCTCAACGAACAAGATTTCTGGTCTATAACGAGCAACTTTCTACACAATATATTTTCTTGCGCATCACCCATACCGAAAAACATCTTCTTACCGCGGCTGTCAATTTTGCAATGGAAATAGCTCGTCAAACACTTTCAGCTTCATAACTCAAATAATAGAGATTGCGCTCCTACTTTGACCGGATTGCTAACCCATCATATTTCGGGCAATCTGTTGACAACTGTCAAGTGCATTTGATCGATCCAGGCACTTCATACGTAAAAGTGGTGTAATAGAATCAAAATTATCTTTTTTTGTCGAAAGTAGGGGTGAGAAAGTTTTTTTTTTGTTATTATAACAATAACTCTCTCACCCCTAGTCGAAAGTGGAATTGTCGAAACCAAAATGTCGAAAAATATCGAAACTGAGCATATATATTCACACATTGTTTTTCGTTGTGAAACTGAATCAACCAATAGACTTAATTAAAATAAAATGTTCATTATGGAAAAAAAGACTAACAGAAAATCTAAAAGTTTTTTAAATGATTTTTTTTATCTATTTCTAAATAACTTTCCATTTACTTGATCAAAACGTCTTTCTTGCCACAAATAAAGACAACCTGTTATGAAGGTCACATTATGTAATGAAATAATTATTATATATACCATACAACGTGTTTATTCAGTTTTATAATGCTGTTGTTCTTGTATTTTTCGGCTTCCATGCACTAGATGACCATTGAAGTTTAATACGTCCTTTGTTCAGATGAATGAAATATAAACCATCGTTGATGATAGATGATGAATCAGAGGGAGCTCCCATTTTTTCGCATAATGAACGATCGAATATTCTTATTCGGGTTCTTTTTTATTCATTTCTTTGTACTGAACAAGCAATAGTGGTAGACAACTCTTAAATTCGCAATAAGATAAGTCAATCTTTGTCATCAAATAACGACAGCTTCATTACACATCTTTCGAAATGGTTTCAATATCAATTTCTCTTTTTTATACGATAAATTTTTGTTTCAATATTCTTATTTTTGATATTTTTGACTTCGATCAAATTCAAGTTTGCCATCCCCTTATCATCATGAACGAGAAGGTCATGGAAGTCCGGTATCAACTATTAGACTTTAAAGAAAAGGAAAGAGATTTGTTAGTACACTGTTCGATGAAGCAGAAGTCTTCATGGAGAAGAAAAGTTGTCGTTAGAGTAAGCGAAATGAGATGCCCTTGAAAGCCATTTTAGATTCAGATTCCTTGTCGCGGAATGCTTCTGATCAATCTGAGGACAATTCATCGACGTTGATAAGAATGTCTCGGACAAGATTGAACCAGAAAAGCACATTGGTACAAATTTCAAATCCAGAACGTCTACTGCATAGAAATGCTTTTGTTCCGCTTTTGAACGTCGTTAAGCAGGGTAGGGGTAGCACTTAACGTTGATTTAATATTAAGTGTTAAGCTTTAACTTAACACTTAATATTAATAAAAAAATGTTTCCATTAGCCACTTAATTTGTAATATTAAGTGTTAACGTAATGCTTAATTGTTAATATTAAGTATTAAGCTTTTCGCGTTAACACTTAATTCACTTAAAATTAAGTGATAAAATGTTTCATCTGCAGAAAACATGAATTTCTTCTGATTGTATTTTACAGAAACGCTGTTTTTTGAAAGTGCCTATTTCTTAGAAGTTCGAATAGCAAGTTTTGGAGGTCAAGGAATCTGAATTTGTAATTGGTTTCTCATAATTTCTCAACTGATTTCATCATCAGAAAACGACCATTTTATGAACATGACTGAGTTCTATAAATTTACACTGAAGTTTTCAGATGCCGATGAGAA